TATATATATATATATATATATATATATATATATATATATATATATACACACACACACAAACGAATGTCCAAATGAGAATAAAAAAGTTGAGAAAACGAGAATGCATATAGGTTATATATCTTTTAATCTGTCGTAAAAACGCTGCAACGTACAAGAACGACGGAAAAGGTAATATTAATATGTGAATATAAAAATTATGTATATTTGTATGTGAATATTACTTGGTATATTCACATATTATTATCCATATATATGTGATTATTCATATATGATTATGACGGTTGGTGGCGAAGGTGGTGGTGGTGGTGGCGGTGGTAGTAACGGGTGGGAGGTGGCTCTCAGGATTAATAATAACTACATCAAGATCCAAAGCGTAAAAACTATTTTTATGGACTGCTCTCTTGAACAAATTTGCATTTAATTGAATTCATTACTCATTTTGACACTACTCTAGAAGCACAAAGATGTCTCCAGAAAAAAATGATCATGAGTCAAAATACAAAAATCCAGATTTTATAACGGAACTGAAGATAGAAATAGAAGCATCTCATAATTTCACAAGAAATAATATTTTTTATATTCAATCAGAGATCAAATCATTAATGCTTACGTGGATGTCTATACGATTAGAAGAATCAGAACAATGAAAAAATTCATCATAAGGGATACAAAGATCCAAAACATCAAAACCAATTTGAGGTATCTTATTTATTAGAATGATAGACACTTTTATTAATATGGGTCATCAAAATCTTAACTATATTCTCTATTTGTAACTTTTTATACATCTTTCACTTTTTAAAGACGAGTCACAATTTATTGGTTCATGCTTACGTTTCAAATTGATGGGACATTTATGCAAACACTATTTCTATGTTCTAAGAATGGTAAGTGTAGAAACTTATCCAAAAAGATATGTGTCAATAATATGGACGAAGGATGTCATACCATGATCTGTATATGGTTATAATCTATTAATTTATTTTTTTATAAATTTAAAAAATACCCCTAGAGAGTGTGTGTTACAATAAGGGCCTCTACGTGGTATTAAGAAAATTTGGTATTGCCATAATGGCCTCCATATGATCTTCATAGATTTTTATATGACCATACAAAACCTATTGTTTAAACAGTTTTTGGTAACTTTGTTTGTAGAGTTTCATAAGCTTTATACTCCATTGGTATGACTTATAGGTGGGAAAAAACAACTTAGTAAATTTAAAAGAATTTGAATTACTAACAAACATGTTGCCACCTTATTTCATCATCACTCTTCATCACCTAGTAAATGGTCATCTTTCACTTCATCTCATTTTTCTAAAATAAACTTATTTTAATTTAGAAACTATAATGTAATAAATAACTGAAAATAGTTAATAAACACAACATTAATATAAAAATCAAAATATTTTATTACTTAAAAATCAAAAATACATAGTAAAAACAAGAAAACATAAATAAAAATTACATTATTAAAAAACTACATCACTCTGAATCGTCATCCGAATCCTCGACAACATATTTGAATATTCATTTCAATCGTCAAACAAATCATCGTACCAATCCTTGAGCATAGGTTGTATGTTAGCCCTATAAATATGTTCCACCAAATCACTACAAAAGAAGTGATTAATCAGAATTAATTTGAAATTAATTCGGGATTAATAGGAAATAATTAATGGTGTAATTGATGAATTGTAATTGTTCAGTAGTTGAACAACAGATGCAATTCTAGAATAGTCCATGGCATGGACGGTTTTGGAGCCTTTCGTAGGGTTTCCAGAAGCCTCCTAGTTGCTGAAAAGGAAATGATTTGGATTGGAATTAAATATCTTATTTAGTCATTCAAATCTTGTTTTGTCCCCAAGTTACCTAAAGTATAAATAGGACCCTTGGGCACTAAGATTTCGCGGCTTTCTCATACCTAAAGGGGGAGAACGAAATTATCCTCCTCTCTCCCCTCTCTATTTCAGTCCTCAGGTTTCTTGCGTTTTGCGTGTGAACCGTTAGAGGCTCGCATACTATTGGAGCTAGGTTTTCCAAGGAGACAAGAAGATTTTGATTAGCTTTATTGAAATCAAGATAAGGTATGTTTCTCTAACCATGAATTTTAATTTATACGGTTTTAGTTTGCGTTTTCATAAGTATGTTGCTATTAGATGTGAAAAAGATATAGATCCAATTTAGGTTGCATGTACCCTTAAGTGTTAAGTGAAATTACACAAGTACATTGTTTTTTTTAACCTAAAATTATCATCAGTGGTATCAGAGACTTGATTTTCACATTAATGGTACATAATATATGAAATCGAAACAAACAAAAAATTCGACAAAACTGTTTGTCACGTCGTGACTAGTCCTCTTTCACGACGTGAAGACAGTCTGGATTGTGATTTATGGATTTTATTGCCTTAATTCAAAAGATAGGATAATTTTTAGTTAATCCATGTTATTTTAAATATATAAAATCTGAATATATCAATTAGGTAATTTGGAATCCTAATTTGAATATAAAAGGAAGATTAAATAAGATAATTATCCATTATAAGATAATATAATTATCCTAATAAGATTTAAGTGATTAATTAAAAGTCTAATCACTAGATAATTCTTAAATCCTATTTAGTTAAAATATTAATTATTAAATGTTAATTGAATTAATATGATTTGAACCTTGTAATTTAAAAAGTTTATAAATACACCCAACACATATGTATAAATTTCTATTGTTATATGTGTCATTAAAAAGACAGTCGAATCAATAGTAGGCCTCATTCACGAAGCCACATTATAAGAGAGGTATAAGAAAACGACCTATAAAATGATCGTTGAATGGGTGTCTATTTCGTCCACCTCTTCTTTGTGTGGTGAAGGATCGTTAGCCGACGGGTTTGATAGGACATAAACACATTAAAAGTATAATGTATGAAGTACTATAATATTCTAAAAAATCCTACTCTAGTTACTTTAGAAAAAATGTGAAATTTTATGCTAATCCATGAAACACACGTTATTTCTTTGTGAGTCATTAGTGGAGCGTGTGTGGTTAACCGGCACACTAATGTGGGACGAGAAAGTTGAAAATGATGGTACATTCTCAAATTTATGGTTGGTGGTGGAGCGTGTGTGGTTAATCGGCACATCAATGTGAGATCATAAACGACCTCGAGGATGTCACGTAGGTTGGCATGGTTATTCACATCTTATTTGTGATCCTCGACATCCTAGTCACAAATTGAAGAGCATAATCTGAGATTAACATGTCATTGATTCTTCAATGAATCTCATAAGATCTTGGAATTTCATTTTGATTGAAATTGGTAAGATGTTGTACCTACCTAAAATAGTTTCGTGATATGACTACGACATCCCTCTTCATATTACGAATCGTGTTTATGGATCCTAGCCTTAATTTAAAATTGGGTTAATAATTAAGGATAAAATTAACTTCATTAAACTTTCTCCTTTAAGTTAAATGGAATCCTATCCCACCTCCTCACTCACTTTCTAATTCTAGCTTCTCTTTGTTCTCCCTTAAGAATGGCTCATTAGTTATGGGATCTTCCTCAATTTTGATATTGGGAAATATATCTATAATGAGCATATCTCTTAAATCAATAATGCATCAAATTTAGATATGTTGTTATTCCCATAAAATGTAGATTTGTCAAATAAGGTCTCTTGTATCATTATATTTATGTCATCGATGTT